AAATACTTCTTGCCTGTCAAATACCTTTGATTTATCTTGCACACTATATATTATTCATTACCACAATTTGCTACAGAGTTGCCATAATAATATTGCCATCTTATTCCAATGGTTTATAAGTAAAAATTTTAGAAGCCATTAATTGCTGAATGATCTTCAGCAGTAACATGTAAATTAAATTTAACTGAATTCATTGTTTCAAAGAGAAAAACATACAGCAATTACCCAGGTAAATAATTAATGCAGCTTGTACCTATCCAGCAACCCCACTCCATTCTAAGTAAACAAGATGGACCAGGTGCACCAAAGCTCACAACAAACTGAAATAACCAAATATTACCAACTCATCCCTAAATCCCAATGTAGCAAAATGAATCATGACTTCATAATTATTAACCTTTTGAGTGCTTACTGCATTACTCATGTAGTACTTCCTCAAAATATCCAATCCCCTAGCATGACAGCCTAGTATGTATACACACATATACACAAGAAATATGATAAAAACAAAAGTAACAATTCACCATCAGTATACACTATGTCTGAAGGAAATTTTACTATACTTTATCTGGAAGTCACTAACTGAATATCTTGGACTTGAGTTGTAAAGTATTTGCTCAGTGAAAGCCAGACAACCTAATAGCACAAAACACACTCCTCTCACGCTTTTCAACACTTGCAAACTGGAAAGCCCAATTAACTTTAAAGTTACAATAGGAGTGTGCAAAATGATCAGCACTGACTGATATTCTATTTTACTAAATCATGATGGATTATACACACCTATTATGTATAAAATCCTTCAAGATGACATCTAATAACACTATGACATAGGTTACAATTCATTATAAGTAGAACTATCACATTTTATAGCAGGTTTTAAAAGAAGAGCTAGTCAACATGGTAAAACTGATATCACACTGTGGCTGGATGATGGCTTTCAAACTTTTTAAATGATATGTGAAAGTTGTGTATCAAAGAGTAATAGGATTTAAATTCTGTAGTTACAACATGTAAGTCATAAGTGGTCAGCTAACATGACCCTTTATTTCATTTTAGTCCAGTGTTATCTCTAGCTTTTCTGTTACATAGATTTGTTGCTTGTTTCTGGCAAGTAATGTAATACATGTAATTACAAATACATATATAACAATACATTTACATGAATACTAAACATGAAGACAACTTAAAATGTCATTTACCTCAATATTATGGGATGGGCAAGGAAGCAAAGGATTAACTCTGACTTTACTAAGCTCTGACTGATGCCTCACCAACTTTAATTCTTTATTTATCCACTACACTGGTGCTCGGGTATAAGCAGCATGTTGAGCTAAGGATATTAAAAACATACACACAAACTACATCCTACATGAGGATACAATTACTTCTGGTAACTAATATAGGATGGAACCTCAGAAAAAATTATGTAAATAAATTTCCCCTCAACTCATATTGTGTATGACCGTGAATAAAGTTTCTATCAGGATGCTCCAAGTCAATTACTGTATTTATATTAAAAATAGTTTAAAATGACTGGGTATTTCAATTTGTTAACACTGTCTATGGAATCAAAACATCATTATTAAACCCAATATGATATGGGTATGAAAATAACAGTATTAATGATGAGCTAAAATATAACAGTCACACCATGAAATATCAATATACTGTACAGTAAAAACACTTAAATCCAGGCTAATGGGTAAACAGATCAATCTAGTTATTGGAAATTTCTGGATATAAGAAATAACTTAAAATGAAGCTGGACACATAAGTAGCTACTATTTTGTAGTGTTCTCCCCAAGTAACCACTAAACTTGTATAGTGTATTGTACTACATGTCTGCAAGGTGGTGCCAAACAAACACAGTAACGTTTTCCTTGGTAGAGAGAGTTGCGATGAGCACATGCTTACATTCAACAAAGAACTTCAAACACCAAAATTAAACTTACTGTATGTTAATTTTAGTACTTCAACAAATTTGGTTAAATTTACTATGTTCACCTTAAGTGTTCATATATTACAGTACCTATGATGGCAACCTGTAGTGTAACTGTCACCAAGCTTACCTCGCAAGTGAGAGGTCTTAAGTTCAATCCTGGGCAGGGTAAAACTATTTACTTCTGTCTACCAAGTAGTAATTGGGAACCGGGATCTTACTCAATTTGTGGATCATGTTCTGGGGTGATGGCTACCCAGCACAGTTGGTGAGTTGTCTGATCTTCTTGGATTATTCCTTGACACTGAATCATACAGCTAGTAAACTTTAGGTGTGGTTATTGTTGTGTTGGTGACAGATATTACAACTTAACAAATTCAAGCCCAAGTGGCTAGTAATCTTCAAACATGAGGATCAACCATTCTATATTTTTGTATTACTGTATGAAATCGATAACATTATTCATGTATAAAACAAGAAAGCTTAGACAGTTTTAAATTGTAATCCGAGTTATTTTTCCATAAATTCACCATAAAATGAGCTCTAAAATTATCACAAGCAGCAGTTAAGCATAAATGAAACAGAGTATACTGTAGTACTGCATTGTAAGTCTGATATAACAGGATAAGATAAATTAAATGCATTTATAGATATCAATATTTAAACAAAACAATCAACTCTCTTATCTTCATGTATATTACAGTACTCTAAGTTTTGATAATGAGATTATTCATGTCACTTACTCAAGCTCCAGTGAGAATTAAAAACTTGCCAGAGATGGTAAGCTTATACATATGTATCATGTGCAGTTTCTAATTCTAATTATTAAGGTCTATTTTCCAGACTTTCATCATATATCACCAATTCTTTGCCAAACAAATGTTCACTGTGATAGGAAATTATCACTTAATTTATATTCATAATTATCAACATTTTATGGCTATTTTCCATGCTTGCAAGGATTAGCCATGAGTACCTGACCGTAACTATCCAAGCTGCATGCTCTCTTGTGGTTTCTCTTGTGAGGTGCTCATACAGCAGTCAGAACATAGCTCATTATTCCATTAGTACACGAGAAGAACTAAAACCCTAACCCCTCCTACCACGAGAGATACCAATCCACATGTAGTGATCAGGAAAATTGCTTACAAGTTCCAATATTTAATAGTTCTGTATACACCTATAAAACATTAAAAAAATTATCATCACTTTAATTATTTTTAAAGCTTAAAAATTTAATAAAACCAGACACTGTTTCTTCAAAAAATATTTCAAATTGCAAATCAAACCTACTTGTCTGTCTCAAGCTAAGAGTGGACCAATAATTAACCCCTACGCCCCAGGCCAGAGTGGCGACGGCCGTACCCCCCACGCGAAGATAAAACAAGAAAAATCAACTTTTCCAAAATAAATTTTTGACCTTTATGAATGATAAAACAATAAAAAAGAAGTAAGAAAAACTTCCCTGGGACAGCAGTGGCGAGGGAGGTAAGGGGGACAGTGATATTTTGACGGCTAGCGCTCGTGGTCACTACGCACTTAGCGCCATTTTCTGCTTGCCTTTGTTCCGAGATGGCCAATAATGCATAAGTATATTTACTGATCATAATACTTATCTCCTATAAACAATTCATTTAGAATTATTTTTTTTTTTTGCATTATTTTTCATAAAAAGTGCTTGGTGACACACAGCAGTCTGTCGCCAGCTGTCTGGCTGTCTTTGTGTTTGGTAGAGCAAGTATTGCATAAAATAATAATAATTCCACAAATAAATACATTTATAACATAATCATAGCATTATTTTCCACACACAGCAGTCTGTCGCCAGCTGTCTGGCTGTCTTTGTGTTTGGTAGAGCAAGTATTGCATAAAATAATAATAATTCCACAAATAAATACATTTATAACATAATCATAGCATTATTTTCCAGTAATACTTCATTACAATACAACTGCACTACTTTTAGCAATATTACTTTGATACAGCATGATAAAATGGACAAACAATGAAAATGAAACAAACAAAAGTAAGTAATTACGTTCAGGAAGCTTCCCTGTGGCCGACGTGTGGCGTGACAGGCAAATAGTCACACTGGAACCTGATAACCTGCGCTGGGCATTTAAACAGTGGCAGGAAAAGGCGCGCGTTCTGGAACGTCACCCGGGGCCTAAGAGTTAATCTGCAACTGGAAGCCAAAGAAAAATTGGGAGCAGGGAACTTGTTGCAGCACAGAAACTAATACCTTACACTCCAAGAGAACCAGCTTCAATGAAAGACACAAGGCAACATCATGATCACTATTCATACAAGCAAATTTACTTCCTTGCTAATTTCAACAAAATTTATGCATAATGAGAGCAAGGCACCACAAGAAAGGAGGAGGTACACCATGTATATAATAAACCTGAACATTTGAAAATGAAAGTCAAAATATATACTGTACAGTATACATCCACACACACAAAAATTATCTATTAGAACAGATGTAAGATGGTAACTGGCCTACTTAATTCTAAATAATGACCCAGAGATTAACTTACAACTACAAGTGAACAGTATGGGAAAAAGGAATAGAAATGTTTCAGTTGTCTGTTCCTATTTTCTTTTCTATGAGAACAATTCATCCAAATGTAGCCTGGATTCATATAACTTAAAGCATAAATTATGATAGGCAGTAGTTTAATAAAACAAACAAACAAAAAAACATATAAAAATACACATAATTTATCACATTACCTTTAAAGACTTCTGTATTCCTTCTACAACAGTGTTTACCTAATTGCAGTATGTATCTTCTTTGTCTCATCAATACCAACATCCTAAGCGTTCATCTCACAGTTATATCTCTGGCATACCTGCACTTCCTTTGTGATTTATGTAAAATTCAATTCCACTGGTAAAAACCATAGGAACCTATCTAGATTTTTCTTAAACCTACTGATGGTAGTGAAATATCAAATAAATTATAAACTTATGCAAAATAATTATATGCATAAATAAACTTCTTACACCCTACAATGACTCTCTTTAACATTAAATATCATTCTATCTTTTCTTCTGGTTACTTATACAGTACTTGAACATTACTAAGTTTCTGCTACTCTCCTCTCCTCATACTTTCCCCCTTTCTCACCATACTTCCCTTCTACTCTACTTGTATTTTCCCACCACTCTGCTTGTACTTTCCCTTTCTTTAACCACATTAAAAGAGTTCTGTTCTTTCATACCTTACTATTAATCAGTGGAAGTTAGTGACATGTTTCACACAACAGCTAATCCAAAGTGTAGAATTCTCCAGGAAACATTTCTTTTCACATTGCTACTCTGTCTTGGACACTTGGAACTGCAGAGGTGGACAGTCACTAAATGACTAGGCAAGATTCTCCATGCACTATCCTGCTCTAAATGAAGGAAAGGCATTTGTAACAGAACACAAAAAGTTTGCAGGTAAGAGTTTCAGTCTCATATTAGATATTGGTCAGATTAAGTTTGGTTACTTTTGTTTTGTTTCATAAGGTATGGCTAAGAATGAAACCTAACCTGACCTGTTTCCAGAATGAAGCTCAAACTTTGATCAGTGAACCTAAAGGTATACTGTAGTATATACTATGGACACACACATTTACCAAAAAGTAAACTAATAAATAAATGCAGTACCTGTACTGCTATTCAAATTAAAGTTCTTTGGAAACTCTGCTGCAGCTGCATAACACATTCAACCATCTCAATTAATAAGTAACTTTAAGTGAGTTAATAAAGAGTATATGGGGCATTAATGTACTACTTATGGAAGGTGGGCAAAATTTACATTAATTAATGCTTTGAAAATAGGCTGATGTACCTGACAGCATAATTATAATGCAGCTTCTGACCTTTCTATTTCAACCACTATTCTACTATTTTCAAATATACAATATAATTAAAAATACAATAAAGTTACTATTCACATATTAATAAAAAATTAAAACACAAGATTCTCGTTCCTTTCGTAGTTAAAATTAAAATGTCATCATCAAAATATTTGGCTTGTTTCTTAATGAGATATGTTTATGCTGTAATTTAAAGAAAAGTTTTCAGTAGTGCATTTGGATCCAATTATATTACATTTCCTTAATTTTATTTATAAAAGAAACTACTCAAAATACAATGAAAATAATTAGTTGCCAATGCAATTATTATTTTGTTATTCATTCCAATACTTAAGGAACACGTTGTACTGTACACATAAATCAATTCCAGTACTGGATGTGTTCATACTGTTCAGAAAATTGGCAGATCTATACTAATTTTTCTACAACAATTCAAGGATGCATTCTTCATTGTACAGAATTGAGAAAAAATAAATAAAATTAGCTATATGGTAGTTAAACATTCTTGCTATACTGTATAAGGCATTTATACCTTTTGATCAATAACAACAGTACCCATGTTGATTCAGTAAAAAAAAAAAAAAGTACCAAGAAAACAAGCATTTTCTCCAACAAATATATAAAAGGAACCAATTTTTTAAAGCTTGGTACAGTATTGTCATATGACTAGAGGAGAACATTCTAAAACAGTCCACAGACTAAATATATTCACATATGTTCACACTGAGTATTGATAGCCTGTAGGGATCAGATTTTAATTACATGTAATCTAATACTAACACTTACCATGGATTCTAAACAAGTTAAAGGCATTTAAAATTCCACAGACCAAAGATCTTTTTAACATTAATGAGCTTTCTTATTTATTTACTGTAATATATGCTTTAGTAACCAATTTCAAGCATATACTTTAAATACATCTTCAAGACTAGCCAAAGTTCTTACGTTTATGAGGCACCAATTCTTTTAGTTTATGACATGAAGCTGAAGTTCACTTGATTTTGGGCAAAACTTTCATAGGTGGAGACAGGACCATCCATTGCTGGATATTTGAGAACCTTCCAAAAGGAACTGTTGTACAGCAGCATTTTCCACAGTGTGCAGTGGAAACTCAAGCTGTAATGGTCAAAGTACTTTAGTAAATCTTTGATAATCCAAGACTGTTCATTATCTTAAGCAATTACATGTACTGTAGTACCCATAGAACCTTAAATGACCATATTGTGGTTTGTGTGTGAAAGGTGTTAATTTATATGTTAGTATTAGATCTACAGTACAGTATTGTACTCCCACCCCACTAGCTCTCCCACACAATAACCCTATATCTACCACTGCAGACACCAATGAATTTTATTATTAAGTCAAAACTAAACTGTATTTTCTCCATGTGTCCCTATATGTTGGTAGAAAAGTTTCATAAGGTTAAATAAAGGAGATGGGAAACATAAGATAACAGCAACCTTTCAAAGGTTGGTATGGAGTTTAAGATATCCTGTTGGTGCTCCGCTCAGTCGCTGTAGCTGCCTTGGGTATTACGTTGATCTCCCTCCCCTAAACTCCTCCTCTCCATAAAGAATCCAGATCAATTGTTTATGATCAATCCAAAACTGATACAAATGTGACAACTTCAATTAGAAAATGAATGGAAACATAGCAGAAAAGAGAATACACCTGACAAGGGTTGGGACCAACATTGATTTCACACCTGAGTGAGGTACTAGACCACCAACTCCACATGGGAACTGAGTACGGTACAGTACTACCACTAGTATCACATGGGACTAAACTGCCTCCAACACCACATGATAGGGGAGGAGTCGGTTCACACTGGGTAAAACCAAGAGTCGTGACCTTCACATTACAAGTACGAATTTGAAACAGAAGGTTAAAAGCCCTGCTAGCACCACATGGCCCTGCCACACCCATCTACTGTGAAACAAGACAAAACATCCCTGGACCACACTGTTGTAGACTTGTAGTGCTACCAAAATTCACCCATCAAGAGCCACTACATAAACTGGACCTCTCAATTCTCTGATAATCAACATCATGTTTCCAGTTATTATCAGTTTAAGATAGAGCGGTTACACCATTTTCAGAACATATCCTTGTCCATGTGCAACTGTTCAACACCACAGCTGCATCAGTGCCACAAGACCAGTCGCTTTCCAGCCATGGTGGTGAAAACTATCAGGTACTAGTTAACATGTATGTTCAACCCATATTTCCTCCTCTTTTCCCACTGAAATTTTTTGTTAAATGACCCACGCCTCAATATTACCATATATAATTTATGCAGTTTCTGTTCACTGTGGATTTTCAACCTTTGGGTGCTATATTCTCTCATTAAACTGGTAATACTATTAATATTATTATCACTATCACATAATGTGCAAGATCCCAAAACCGGCAACCTTAGGACTTTGAGGTTACTAGTTTCTGGACAATACATATATTGACGTGAAAATGGATGTGTTAAGGCATTTTGAAAAAGAGGAACGAGCTGTGGATATTGTTGAGCTCCAGGCACGACTATTAACAGCCTTACTGACATTTTTAATTTTTTTTTTTTAATTCTTTGGGGAGGGCAAATAATTTTGTCTGGCTTAAGTGTGTAGACACAATTGCCAACTGGCAATTCAGTATTTTTCATATTTCATTTATTCCTCACATTTACTGGTTTGCATCCTTTGTGATAACTGGAGTATTCCTATATTAGTGAGCTACTTTAGAGCTGTATAATGTCTTTGAACTTTGGTTTTGGAGTGTGTGTGTGTGTGGGGGTGTTCCACCTGACACATCCTTTATCTCCCATATTATAATGGGTTCGCTCTATACGGCATTTTTCTGGGAACACAACCCTGTGGTAAATGGGTATGTTTATGAAAGACTCAAGTAACTCAAATATATAATACCCAGTACTATGACTGCTAATACTATTCATGGGGATCTGTGGGAGGTATTGAAGGTTCAGACATTTAAGTACAAGAGACAGATACATTACAGTACAATAGAAGAGTTTGATGAGTACCAGACATAATATATAGGGATTGCCTTGGTTGTAAACCCATAGAACAAATGCTTAACACACAGGTCTCCCCTTGTCCAGATTCAGTTGAAAACCTAGGATTGATCATTGAGTTTAGAAAGATAAAGACAATAAAAAATAATAATACAAAAAATTATAAATAAGGGGCTAAATGGTGAATGAAATACACACAATTCTTTAAATTTTCACATTTGCTTCATCCCAGGTGAATTTTCTGAATTAAATGCTATGCAATCCTGGTTAATTTGCCATGTGAGTAATATTTTCCATGTGTGTTCAACCAATGTATCACATCTATGCCAATCTCACATAAAACACTGTAATGATTCCCTAATCCACCCAGCACATAACCAACTTAGAGTCAGTAATTTACCTGCGTAAGGGATTTCCAGGTGCAAGCCAAGGAAGTGATGAACTCTTGTAACTGGTTACCAGATCGGAAGTAAAGGGCCCAGTCTCCTGATATTTCCCCTGCTTCACTGCACTCAAACTCCTAAAATGCACAAACTTTAAGTTGATCCTATATTCACACATAACAAAATATATCCATTAAATTATATCTCAAACTTGAAATAAGAAACCTTAAAAATTTTCTCTGAATATGTTTAACATTTCTCTTTCCCAAAAATAAAACACCACAGGGAGTCCTCATTATTCATCTGGGTTCTGTTCCTAAAAGTCCATACATATAACAATTACACAAATAACACAGCAATTTCTCAATATAAATGAATGTAATAAGAGGGAGTTAGGTTCCTAGCCACTCAAGTTAAGTTACATTTCTTGGTTAATCTGAAATAAAATCCACAGAAACACATAGAGCAAACCCTCGAAGATCTGGACTAAAAGGGGGGACCACCTGTCCAGAAAAGCCAATTGTCAGAATAATCCGGCGAATAATAAATAATATAAGAAACATAAAAAATACAGCACTAATGTAGTGATAAACAAATTACCGTATATAAACCATGCATTTACTTATGATAACATAATAAGAAACACTGTATCATTACTAGAGTGAATGACATAATATTCCCACAAACAACAATTGTCAACTCTGTTTATGTTTCACACCTCCTCGGGCACCTGTGTCCAAGCAACTGACGGGTCAAGCAGTGCCCACGGACCTAAAATGTTCTTTGCTCTGGTTTGGGAATGTTTCTTCGGGAAACTTCTAGGATGCTTCTTACCCCAGAACCCCCAAAATTTTTGTCCGAATCTTCCGAAATCTGGATTTCCCGAGTCCGGATCTTCGAGGGTTTACTGCATTAATCATATAAATGCTGTATAGCAATAAATACAACACATTACATACATAATCACATTAAATATGTACTGTACACTATTAAATAAAAGTTACCGATACAGGTATCCCTCGCTATACAAATAGGCTAAGTTCCTTGAAAACCATTTGTTAAGTGAATTTACGTATATCGAATAACCTACGGGAAAAATGGGGATGAGTTCCCCAATGTCAAGAAATCCCAAATATTATACTGTACCCCAAAAATAAAATCAGTTCAGAAACAACAAAAACCTATCCCACCACTGTAAATTAGTACCTACCTACTGCAATTTAGTACTTAAATGCAGTACTGTACAAGGAAACCCCAATATTATATACCTGAAAATAATTAAATTGGCTGTGGCATTCCCTTTTTTTTTGCAATCAAGTGATGAAAGCAGTTTCCCCTGCATGTCATCTGCTAGCACATATTTCAAATTACTATACAGTACATATAAATATATAATATTTTATTGCCTCCCATGACATGTCAAAAACGCGAATACAAAATATACGAATAATCTGGGATTACTCTGCACCGTATATGCACAGTAAAACAGTGTTATTTTGCTATACGTACTGTATGTATAAGCAAGTATACGAGAAGAGGGTACCTATACGAATAATGTGGACTCCCTATACCTGCAATATTTATATGTTTATTGAAAAACCTAAAACACATATTGACTGGTTAACATACCAAAACACTTGTAGTCTTTAAGTAATACCAAAAATTCCACAAAGAAAATGGATGATTGAATAATAAATAAAAATGAAGTCAGACAGCCCAGCCTTATGAAATGGCATGATTTTCCAATAATATACAAAAAAATAATTACAATACGTATTACATACCATGAGACAAGTATTGGGACACTCGGCATACACGGACACTGAGGAGAGGTGTTCCATGGTACTGAATGTTAAAACCTTGACTTCTCCCTTAGGTTTAAATCCTTCATACAGCTGAGATTGTGCTCCCCTTGTTGGTTCTCTTTTTTGTATCTTCTGTGGGGTGATCTTTTTCTGGGGACCCGATGTATTTTTTTCATCACTATTTGGGACATCTGGTTTTATATCTGGAATTCCACAATCAGATAATCTGGAGAGGTTACCTTGATGCTGATGAGTATTATGTATAGGGGTGGAGGTTCTCTCTCCTGTGCTGATGCGTTTCCTTGGACTTGCAAGTAAAGATGATGAACTACCAGTATGATTAAGGGCAGTTAAAGATGAACTCAAAGGCTTGCGATCCTTTAGATTGGCTAGTGCAAAATTTACTGGTTTTTGAGGACCTTTCTTCTCACACTGAACTTGACTTTGGATGGAAAGTGTCGCAGGTGAAGTTTCAAGCAATTGCTGGGAGTGCTGTATGGTAGACAAGGATTTATCTTGGTTGCTTAGGGGTATTACTTCTGGGGGTGACCCAAGGAACAGGTCTGACTGTTGTGCTAACAAGACTCCAGACTCCAAAAGGACCACACGGCAAGGTACCTGTTTCCTCTCACTTATGTCTCGTACCTGAAAAATTCAATGTTTCAAAGCAACTGGCCAGCAGTCGTGCATCACTTTGATCCTAACAATAGTCTAGGTACTTAAAAACTCTACCCTTTAATGAATAGAACTGCAATGGTTATTATGAGAAGGAAAAGGAGGGACTAGATTGAGAACATGTCAAGAATTTGCTGGAAAATAGTCCCTGTAGTGAAATGTTTCAAGTAGAAGATGACAATTTGAGGTTGGCAAAGTTGCTCTAAAACCAGCAACTTTACAAAAAATTTCCCCCAAAATTTGTTTCTTACCTCAAAAATATATAAAACATTATTTTTTGTGACTTTTTTAACCTGAACCCAATCTATATTGAGTTACTAGCTCCTGGCAACACAACAGTGACTGGCTTGCATTAAATGATTTTTCATAAATAAGATGAATCAACCAAACATACTCATCCTACGATGGAAAAATATTATTGGTTGTGTGTGGTATATTAATTTACATTAGGTTAGGTAGGTTTCGTTAAGATATGGAAAGGTCACTGGGTAGTATTAAGTTGTTGCTGGGAAGCATTTATCAACATATGTAGTGTAATCATGGTGTCTTCAGATGACGGAGCATATTTTCTCATAAATCAGAAAGAATTACCAAAAAAAATTTTCAGAAAGCTAGAATTCCTCCACCTACAATAGTTTGGGATATTCTTCGGTAGAAAATTTTCCTAAGTTGATGGTTCTTAACCCCTTCACTACAAGGACACCAATTTTATTAATATTTCATTTGGTGAACACCAGATGATATTGTTCAGTTCAGAGGTGGCAGAGTACAGAAGGGGTTAAGGGAAAAGGGGGTTAAGGGACAGTGTCCTTCAGTAATACCTCTGAGGTTATTTCAGCATCAAACTAGAATATATTCAGACTGTAGAAGATATGGCAAAACAATTTATTCTATAAAATGAGGAATTAGATTTGCTTTACATTGCAGATACAGGTAAGTTAAGACATGATGGACCAGCAACTGCTTACAACACAAAAATAATCCAGCACAAATTCATAGTAACATGGATAGAAAAATGAAATTTTGCTGAAAAGACTTGTATTATACGTAAGGTTGGCCTAGATAGAGAACTCCACAAGGTAATAAAAAATATAGAAAAGTTCACTGCAAATGTAATCTTAATTCTGTATGAAAACAAATGTCATGAAACTCCAAAATATGAGGATCACTTCACCTCCAGACATACATCAATTTACTGTGTCTTACCCCACTGTTAATGATTGTTAGGAAAGCCTGTAGCCACAATGATGCTTGCTGCTCATCTGATGCTGCTAACATGAGTGGAGCTTCCTTCTTTCTCAATAACTGAAAGGATAAATTATAATATTTGTAGCAAGCAAGAATCCATTATCTTTAATGCAGTGTACAATTCTAATTTAATAGTACTGCAACTGCATCACAGAAAAATGCATATGACAACTCAGTGTCTGTGGAGAGTAAAAATTACATTGTGAATATCCCACTGCTTTTTAAAGAGCATTGAAATATCCAAACATTATGTAAACAGGCCTCATTTGGGTTGGTATGTGGCTGTGCTCACTTGGATTTTGTGGACTTGTACTGCAAGTGCCTAAGATCAACACAAAAATTAAATTGATGCCTTTCACCATGATATTTGCCTGGAATTCATGGTTCATATTTTGTAATCAACAGATAAGACACTACTAGTTTTGGATATTTTTTTTTTTACCTTTCAAAGTCAATGACTTATATCCTGGCAAATGCTGTACATTAAATAAAGTTGTATGTATATCCATAACCAGGAACCAAATTAAAACAATAACTAATCTGAAAAGCAACACAATTAAAAGGAGCAATAGTCTTATTAAGGTACTGTGAGACGAATACCTTTGGTGATCCCCATGTACTCCTTCAGAGGGTTGACTTCAGTGACATGTTTTGAAGAAAAGTTATTGTATTCTGCAATTCACCTAAGATTACGCAAGTAAGGCATACAATTTGGCTATGAAAATAGCCTTCCATGATACAGGAGAGACAAGCCTCTGAGGCTCAACTGATGGTTTAGAAGCAAAATTTTTTTAATTAAACCAGACTGACAACTGTAAATGAATACTGGATGGAAGATTGGGCTAGGTGCCTGTAAGTACTGTGATATACCGAGTCAAGATTAATTTTCTTAATAAACTAATTAAAAGTATAAACTGATTCAGTCCCTCAAGGGCTGATCCAGGGGGGAGTCTTGGGGGCCCAGACCCTCCCTTTTCAGCATAAAATTTCAATACTTTTTCTGTAATGTAGTATTGTACTCAAGCATTTTTGTATCGTAAAAAGTATTTACTATTGACTTCAGAATATCTCCTAATATCATGTGCGCATGGCTTCAAAGTGACCTCAAAATGCCCATGATATTGATCAGATTTCCAAAAATTTTCTGGGGAGGCTTACAGCAACCCCCCCAGCTGGGTGGGCTCACTGTGCTCACCATGTTCCCCCACCCACAACTTCTTGGACCCCCCCATCTGATATTCTTGGGTCTGCCCCTGTCCCTGGATGGTCAACTTTTTACAATTCATGCTGTTTGCCCTCATACCTATGTATATATGCCAGTTCTTTAAAAAATCACTGATTAATCATTACCTGTCACAAATTAAACACTGTTCTCTTCACCCCAGTGGCTGCAGCACACTAAAAACACATATCATTGCCAAAAGGTGTATACATATCCATGGACATCTAAAACCCTGCGCCACCTTTACCCCACAATAGTGTCAACCAACTATTCTATTTTCTTTTTAACTGGGGAAGGGGGGCTCCCTTTCTCTTACCATACATATCTGGTACTGTCCTGGACACTCCTGGAAAGAACAAGACACTAGAATCCAGACCCCAAATTAAATACCGGTAGTGGTCATACGTCATGTGAAGAGATGATTCAGTTGAATTCATCTTCGGTAAGCCAACTGTGAACAGCCATCAACTTTCAATGGTGGACACTTGCCTACAAAACTCCCTTTCCAATGTTAAGAGCTGCAACAGGAAGCTATGCTAATTGATTATATTAGTTCTGGCCACTAATGTACTCAAGTTGCCTAATGTAGGGTGACTGGATACAAAAGTATGCAAAAGGAGAAGTTTGAGGACTTACTTGAAAAGCATGTGGTCTTTGGTTAGAAGATATACGAACACAACCCACACACCGCACCACCTCCACTATCATATGAGGCAACCTTTCCCTGGAATCATTGAACTGGTACAGTACACCAGCCCTGATAAAGCAAAAGAAGTTGAAACAAGTTAATATGTAGAGCAGATTACAAGCTTCAATTAGTATATCATTGGGGTCATTAATGTTCCCCTGGCTACTGATATATTTCCCTCAAATGAAGGTAAATTTTCAGGGGTCATATTAGGGATTTAAATTTGGCATGATACTTTTTTGGGGGGAACTGCGTGTATGCAAATTTTTTAAGTCAGTAAGATGTTTATTGTGAATCTAAGAGCACAAAAATCAGTCCCATGCAAACTTAAAAATATAAAAAAATTGAGGTGTGCTTGGAAGATATACAGTACAGTATGTCTCTCTTGCATACCTGAATTTTTGTGTTTATTAAAGTTCAGAAGTTCAAAGATAGCATGACAACGATTTTTAGGCTCATGAACATATAGAAACACAGGTGTCATAAATGGTATCATGCTAACTTTAAGCCCCTGATATAATCCTTTATATTCATGATAAGCTGAATTTTTTTTTGAAATCGGCAAAAACAAAACTTTGATCTCAAAGTTCATTTCATAACCGAGACTAAAGCGAAAAGTAAATGATTGCTATTTCACCTTTGGGTACATTGGGCCTGTAAATAATTTTTTATTCCCTTCCCTATCAAGGGGTTATTCTATGCTCCTTTATACCTTATCATAGGAAATAGTAAAATTCTTCAGAGGATCTGGTTAACTATGGCCGAGTTGTTCAATGAGGAAAAATCGGGTTATTTCAACCTCTTCCCTCTTAGTCTTAGTTACCCCTTAATCTAGGATTTTTTTCACTATCATGCTCAAGCCATTATCCCTAGTAATGCATCTCATGAACCATCTAGTCCTGTATAAGTGCTCATGTACTTATATTCCTGAGGCTTGTTCGCAAGTCTAACTTTACTCAAGTAGATACCAAACATATTGTAAAAAAAATAAAAAATAAAATGATGTAGAGTTCAGCTATACCCCAATACTAAATACAGCACATTATTCTACATTATATCTTATCAGCCTTTAACAGTTGAATTAAATTAAGGCTTACAAAGGTGCAACATTGATGCTGGTCTTCCAACAACACACTCAAAAGTTTCTCCATCTCTTCAATCACCGCACCTCTTCTCTTGTTGATAATCTTTGACTGCATTGGCCCAGAATCTTGCACACATTGAATAATGCACTCTTTGTCATTTAATATTGTTCCAACAGTTGAGCAATTTATCCGAGAGCACACACTATGTTTATCACAGGCTGTGCAGATTAGCTGTGCCTGGATTAGAGGCCAGGCACCATAGTGAGCTGCAGGTATGCCAAGGAGCAACAACAAAACCTAATAATGGCAAGAGAGATACTGGATGATGCCTAACAGCCACTGCCATCCTCTGTGCAGCAGCTGTACAGTACTTACGCCTCACGGTTTGAGCAGTCAATTGAAAATTTTGGACAAGCTAGTTCATATCTCTGAAAGTTCATACATCAAATGTTTGTAAGTAGAGGAGCACCTGTGCAGTATGTCACTAACAAAAACTAACGAGCTAAATGAAGGCCTTGGGTGAATAATATCAAGATAAGGCACAAAAAGACAAGGATTTAAATAGAGAAATGATATAAAGTCCTGTATGCACAACACTCACTTTAGAATGAAATAAGCTGGTCTCCAAGAGTTGAGGATTCCTGGAGGCTTAAACATAAGTGGTCCTTCACTGGATGGTCCCAAAGGTCCAGATATAGCATCCCCTCCACCTAGACTGCTTCCATCTTCCCAGTCCGCAAGCCAGTATCCAATGACTTCGGGACTATTCTGGAATTAAAAGTAAAATTCAGTTTTGAGTGCAATAGTGCCTATTACTACTATACAAATATGCTTTTTAATTTAATGAGTAACGTAAGTGTACTTGAGGTGATAATAAGGATGTTCTATATGATCATTTGTTAGCAATTCTCTTCAAATCAAAGTTATTTTTCTACAATCACAGGAAACAATACTCCCATATATTCAAACCCTTGTTTAATATTTTAAAAGAGCTGTGTATCTGTCTATGCTCTTCCTTAAACACATCCCACATTCTGATGCCATCTAAGAGCCTTCCCATGTTTCAATCTCTTATTATCCAATGAATTTTAATCACTTATCAGCACTCGCTCATGCTCATTACAGTACAGTCAGTTCTGCTATAACGCGATAGTTGTGTTCTTGTAAAACATCGTGTTATAGAAATTCGCGTAGTAGAAATAACAGGGCTTATGGAGAAAATAGGGTTAGGTGCAGATTACTACTCGAAATCGAAAAAAATTTAGTAGTTAGCCTAACACAAAGGTTAGCACAGTCTTAATAAATGTTACATTCATATCTAATAATGAAATCATACAGTAAATGTTACACTTTACCTTGAGAAAATATGAATATAACTTGATGGGGGAGAAGGGTGATTTTGAGGTTGATAACATCGAGCTTCTCTTCAAGGGTTATAGCCTTTCTTTTACGATCATCACCGGGAATGCAATCACCAGAACGCTTCTTGGAGATATTCTTCTTTACCATATTCACAGTTAATACCACAAAATTGGAGAAAGAGTAAGCAAACATCGCGTTACAGCAAACAAGCGTTCGCGTTATACAAATATCGTTCCTCTATTCATAAATCGTGTTAGAGCCAATTCGCATTGTCAAAACACGCGTTATAGCAGAACTCAGCCTTCCCTCAGCCTTCATAGGGTAAGGACGTGTGTAGTCGGCACTGCCCGCTAACGCGGCCGTGGTCTCTTGACCATGGAGACAGCTGCCAGCCCAGTCTGTCGGGCCCTCCCCTGCCCCATCTCCTCCTCCCCATCTGGATTTATCAACATCCTCACATCAACAGTACAGTGCAAAGATTGACGATCAACCCACAAGTGATATACAAAAGTGGCAATTTTAACTCGAAGGAAAAACACAAAAACACAGCAATATTGAGTGTGGCTGGATCTGACCTAACCTGACCTGACCTAACCTGAAGGATGGAGCACACCTGCATTGCCCCAAGCTACTGTCCTGGCCACGTGGCCACACACCTGTCCAACCGCATCCAGCCCATACGACCACGAACTGATTGCTACAAGAACAGCCCAATCCCAACCATTGTAAAAATTATCAACACCTAATTTTTATATATCATATTTGTATCACTTATGTTACCTGTATATTATTTGTCAATCAAGAGACCCATTCCCCAATTTTGTAATTGTATATTTTCAGCCTTCCGGCTGCCATGCTCTTTCAATAAACCGTTTATTATTATTATTATTAACTCACTGTATTTACTGTTTTAACAATATTCCTTGCATTCAATATTTACCTTTGTACAGTGAGAGAATGAAGTATAATGAAACCTGACTACCCAACACAGTGAAAGGTGTCACGGCAACCCCATTGCAAGGTTCCACAGGCCTGCCAACTGTTTATGGGCTCCACACATGTGTGTAGAATGGCTCAACTGTTCTGCAATGTATTCATCAAAACCCTAGGAAGATAATTTACTCTCACTGCCAAGGAAAGGAGGCTAGTGGCCTGTGTAGGATACTTCACAATGTCTAGGAATTAATCTTCAAACATAGAAAAAGTTTCTTTCTCTTCAGATACAGTACAGTGGTCCCTCGGTTAACAAGCACAATCCGTTCTAGAAGGTTGCTCGTTAACCGAAAAACTCGTGAACCGAAACCATTGTTTCAATGGGTTTTTGGGTAATTGGTTCCAGCTCACCGAAAATTGCCTAAATTCAACAAAAAGGTAAGAAAAGTACACTTACTTTGAGGTGTGTATGTAGAAGGCTCCTGGATGATGATGATGATGATGATGATGATGGGAATTAGAATGGGGGTGGAGGAGAAGGGAGAAGAGAAGGCATTGGGGTGGAAGAGAAGTCACCCCATGGTGCCATTTCACCCATGAAATTTCAGTTCTCTTGGTGTAATTCAAGATTATTTTCTTTAAATCAACACTGCACTGCATTATATATTGTCAATATGTAAAATAAATTTCAAAATGACCAATAATTTGCTTGCAAACACAGAAAAAAAGCGTTTAGTTGAAGAGAGTCTCAAGCAAGATGTTACCTCCACTGAAAGACACAAAGACTGACGCCTGTATGCTGTGTTGGCAGGCTGGATGGCGTGCCACAAACTAGTGACCCTACCTTCAATTATGTTCAATAATTGTTAAAATGACTAAAAAATTTAATATTAAACTTTTAAAATGATTGAATAGTATAAACTTCTTGATATTTACTAAAACAGTAAGGAATTTAAGCCCTGGAACCGATTACTGTATTGACGGACTAATACTACAGCTGGTGGACCGCCAAATGCAAGCTAAAACATGTTTAGGTCGGCTCGTAAGAAACTCGTAAATCGAGGGATTGCTCGTTAACCGAAGTTAAGAATCTTATGGAAGGTAACTCGTTAACCAAAATCTCGTTAACCGAGGCACTCATTAACCGAGGGACCACTGTATAGTAAATACAGTTCTGTATCTCTATTAGTAGAATGGATGCATTCTTCAAGGTCTTTGCACTAACCAAACAGATTATAACAGAGTATATACAATATTTAACAGGGACTGGTTCATGATAGCAAACAGTTCACTATGCAAGATTTCTAAATTAAATTAATGAAAATATGTATAAATACAGTTGGCCCTCAATTTGCATTTTTGTGTGTGCACAAACATGACCTTTTAATTTTTTTACACAGTCTGGATTCACTTACACTGCACATGGTGTAGCATTGTCAACATGTAGGCAACTGTATAAATAATATGAAAATCTTTGGATGAAAGAAAATTTCCACTATCAAAGCATGTTTGAAAAATTTGTGGCCAAAGGCAGCAAATGATTCTCACAGTTTCCCGAGAGTGCAACTTGTGGTATAGACCACTAGTGAGCTGGGGAGGGATTTGATGATCTCCATGTAGCAGATATGGAGGAGTTACTTGAATACCACATTACCAAGCTCAGTGAAGAGCTGCAGGAGCTGAGTCAATCAAGTGCCAGTGAGGAGATGGAAGTGTCAACAAAGCCATAGCTAATACTGAAGAGCCTGGATAAGATTTGCAGAATAAACCCAAACAATTGACCATCATCATTGCCCTTCTCAACTCCACCACATTCTTTTTGCAAGCATGATTCCACCACCACCACTGCTGCTTCCACCGCATTTGCTTGCAAGAGTGACATCATTGCTGCTGCCTCCATCTACTCCACTCCATACTCTCCAGCCTCCCCAAGTGAATCTTCAAGCTTCTGACTTCAACATCAATATTATCATCAGATCAAGTTAATTACCTCATTATCAAAGGTTAGTACAGTATAAAAATTTAATATTGTACTGTACCATTAAAATGCTTATTAAATGAATGAGGGATGCCATCTTGCGAGTCCGGAACCTAACCTCCTATTTCCCAAATGACTTTCGTGTTTTTCTTTTCCCAAAATAATATTTATACAGGTGCAGGTACATCAAAATATTTGTACTGTTAAAGGTAGAGTGATGTGCTGTATTTTTATTGTTAGGTATAGCAATTCCAAACATCCCTTTTCTTTCCTCTCTTAAAATATGTTTGGTATCTACAGGAGTAAAATCATTTTAATGAAGCTGGTTCTTCAGTAACATAACTCGTTCATAAACAGAGGAGCACTTGTATCATCACAGAGTAGAATACAGTATGCAGTTTCATTCTCTTTACTGCATATGAGGCATTATACTACATGACAAGGATGACCCAGCCATGGTCTTAAAAATCCATTTTCTATGGTATCAGAATCATCTTTCTTGCTCAGTCATTGTGCTAACCTAACCTAACCAGCACAATGGGATATGACTGAACAAGATAGACGATTCTGGCACCATAGAAAATGGATTTATGAGACCATGGCTGGGTCACCCTTGTCATGCATAATGCCTCATGTGTGTTTTTCATCATTTATCACTTATACTTCACATCTTCTTGCTATTGTAACTCCTACATTGTCGTATCTAAAACAGGTTAAGTTCATTCTCTCCTTAAGGCTCCTTGCACCTCCTCATTTCATCAACCTTCTCTTCCACCTCTGAAATCTATTATTAAGAACTCAATTACTGTGTCCCCTTGAAGTGATTCTCCAGATAAAACATGCCATCACAAACTGAATAGACAGTTGCATTGTTCACTATAATTCATTGCCATAAATAAAATGTAATCTAGTGAACTGACCATAAGACTAAATGACCTCCAACCAACACTTAACCTGTGTCCACTATAGGCTGAAGCTGAGGCTACACAACAGCTCCTGTACAATAATAAAAATTCTGTCCAGCATTTGATCCATAATCATATCTATTATTGTACAGTACCTTTATTGCAACATGCATGATATTAGAGATATTAAAGAGCTTTAAAAAGTTTGTGTGCTTTGCATAAGATGTACTTATTTTGCATTGTATTATTTTTTTTTATTATCCAGTTAAATGCTAATTCTTCAGGTACAGATTAATTCAACATTATAATGACTCTCTGTAACCTCATATGCAAGCACATTCAAGAAACTGTGCATGCCCAATACCTGGTTGTGAAGACAATAAGATTAAGTAACCTCCAGCTGCTGAATTATACTAAATTTTCCCTCCCAGTCAGATTTTTTTTCTGGGAGCAATTATGTGGGTCCTGATGGTCCCCAGGTCAAACTAGATCATTTCCATCTCTATGATACAAGTAGATAGGTATTATTTATTACCTCTGGGAGTTGTGACCATGCCTTGCCAGCTAAGAGGCACAGGGAAGGCCTACCG